ACTGTTTTAAGTTTATTCCGCTACCAAACATTATCCGCATTTTATTAAAGGGACATCTTGAAGGGGATATTTGATTGGTTCAATACATGGCCACTGTAGAAAAGGATAACTTACATGAAACAGTTCCTCGCTGGCACACGGGAATGACAAGAACTGACATGGAGAGTTGATGCTTTCATTGAAGTATCTGATGGCTCTCATGTGGTTACAGACCAATGATTCACCAACACCTGATGAAAGATCCCAATCAATCAATCAATCAATCAATCAATCAATCAATTAATCAATCAGAAATTCACACAATTCACAAAAGAGACCGTCAGCCAACTCATCTACCAGGTAAGAGTCACCTAACCATCGATTCGACCAACAACTAACCACCCATCCAACCAACCAGTCTACTAACCAACCAGCTTACCATCCAGCCACCCACCCAACTACCCAGCCAAACACCCAGCTAGCCACCCAGCCAACCAACATACTAACCAACCGGTTGCCAACCATAAAAGCACCACCTAGTCACGAACCAGCTAAGCTGCCATTCAGCCAAATATCTAAGAAATCAGATAGGCTATCATGGCACTAGTCAACTATCTAACTTACCAACCAGCCAACTATTCAACTGTCCAAACCCACAAACATCCAACTCCAGAACCATCCAACCACACCACCAACAAATCAACTATACAACCATCCAAATCCACAAACACCCAACTCCACAACCATCCAACCACACCACCAACCATCAACTATACAACCATCCAAATCCATAAACATCTAACTCCGTAACCATCCAACCACACCGCCAACAAGCCAACCACCACCCAACATAACAGACAACTATACGACCAGCCAGCCGGCAAATCAAGCAATCAACCATCTAACTATACCGCCATCCAAACAAAAGTCAGTTATCTATGCACACGGAGGTGAAATGAGAAACTTGAATAGACAAGCCCGATCCCACACAAACCACCTGATCCTTCACTGGGCAGGTGCCTACCTTCGAAAAGCCCATTCTCTGCTATCAAAGGAAGCAGACTTGTCACGCACCCCGGTTGGTCGTGTCCACCGTTGGGGAAGAAGTCAGCGTGACCACTCGGTGTTGACGTGCCCAGAGCTGCATGGTAATTTTAACACCATAATCTTCAGCAAGAACATGAAGCGTCATGATAGAAATTCATAGTAATACTACCTAAACATACCCTCAATTCTACGATCTTACATACACATACGAGGTAAAGTAGGGAAAAAAAACATCATTCCTCGTTATGCAACTCCCACAAGATTGGTCTATTAAAGAAGACAGCTGTGCCACAGTGGGTTTCGTGGCTCCATTTTGGAGAAGAAAGGATAGATCAACTGTAGCCTAACACGCCTTGGTGATTGTGCAAGTCGTGGCGCCTATAAAGTCGTAGTGCTCTTTATGGTCCTCTACGTCTGCCCGCTGTTGTATAAACACAGATGTGCATCATAAATATTTGTACATTATGTAAATAACCAAACCCTGTGCTATTTTAAGTCTTTCAGTCTCAGACAGTTGTTACAGCAACGATGTCTGTCGCGAATGTGTCCACTTTAGAGCACCTATTCTCGAGTTCTCGTCGGACTGAAACTGTAGAAACCTAGACACGATAATCCGAGGTAGTCGTGGTGATAGAACGGATGAACACAATACAAGAAAGAGACTGCAGCTTTGCGTTGGCTTAGGAACTAGGACATGTCGTAACTGTAACTGACCCACAGATCCTGTTGAGAAAGGTATCCTCAGTGCAGAGTGGCAAGCACCGCTTCGGATGTCACGTCTAGTTAGCGTTCTTTATATATTTTCTCTAGGTATGCTAGTGGGTTAGAAAACGTACACGCATATCGACCGCATGGTTCTGCACCACTAATCTACTTATCTAATCGATACTTTTCTACCCGGAGGTGGGGATGTTGGTCAGAGAGAAAACCAGACATCTCTATCAGCAGTTTTCTTTCTGACTTTGTTCAAGTCCAGGCCTCTGTCAGTCAGGAACTGTCGGATGTTGTCTTTCCAGCTGACCCTGGGTCGACCTTGTGGTCTGGTTCCGTGCTTCTTGGTCTCCCATGCCTGCCGTGGAGGCTGATTCCCTCCTATTGTGTATACATGTCTGAACCATGTTAACTTGACCAATACAGTTGAATTTGTAAGGTCTAGGTTTCAGGAACATGATGGATTTATTATCTGGTTGCGAAGTATATCCCCCCTCCACCCCACTTCCCCTCCCCTCCCACCCCACACACACACCTGGACCATATTTCTTAGACATCTTTTTTTCTGAGGCCACAAGCTAACTTCTATGAGCTGGTGTCATTACCCTTGACACACATCCCTAGGTCAGAACTGGCACACAGACAGAGCGGTATGCAGCCATTTTCCTCCTTTTGCTAAATTTTCTGTTGCTAATCAACCCTGAATTTATCGCCGGTAAAAGTTCACAGCTGGTGTGTTTCGACTATTCAGCTAGGTCTTATTGCATGCATTTAAGTCTATTACAGTTTCAAAGTATTTAAACTGGCTGACCTGCTCGAACGTCAGTATTCTGAATTACTTCCTGGTGAATCGTTGCATGACCTGCCGACGTTGTAAGGATCCCTCGGAAGGGAGTTAACAGCACGAAGACAAAAATAGATCATCACATACTAAGTAGAATTATACTGCGAGAAATTACCAGAGGGTGTTGCCGCCGACGTTCAACACTCAAAAGAAAGACGAGATAATATACAGGCCGAGTGTTGGTAGTACCCTCGAAATTGGAACTCTGCGCTTGCTGCTGAAGATAGGGACGAAGAGCTTATGGGAATCTCCTGAGTGCCGTGATATCAATTTCTATTTCAACATTTAACATTCACAAAACATGATTCCCTTACAAATCAGATCTATACGTCCAATATCTGTGTGAATGGCATCCACAAACTTGGCATCGTTCTCATCCAATCGCACGCGTCGAGGAGTGTCCCGGAAGTAAGGCCCTGCTGCATCAAGGGCTGCAATGAAGATTTATAGACAAAGTCATGACAGAGGTGCAATACTAAAGGACCCTTTCTGTCAGTGGTCTCAAGGGCTGCAATAAAGATTTATAGACAAAGTCATGACACAGGTCCAATACTAAAGGACCCTTTCTGTCAGTGGCCTCAAGAACTTTAATAAAGATTCGTAGACAACGTCATTGACACTAGTGCAATATAAAAGGGTGTTTCTTCTTAAATGTCATCATCACCAACAACTTTGTTGTTTTTCAGTTTTTGTTTTTGGCTGATTTCATCTCTTCCATAGTGAATGTCTCACAGGAGGCATCTAGTGGAGCGTGGTAATTTTTTCGTCGAGGTCGGCAATAAGGTCGAGCTGTGGTCTATTTAATATTTCTTTTAAATGTACTGCCTTGGAATTTAACAAGTTTGAACGAGGAATCACAGCATTTCTTCTTCTTCCTTCTTCTTCTTTTGCCTTTCTATCCCCCAATAGAGCATAGGCCCTCAACCAACTCACGCCAAGATGTTCTATCCTTCGCCATTGCATAGAGCTCTCCCCATGTCCTCCCCATCTTTCTAACTTCATTCTCCTCATCATAACATTTACAGCTTGTAATCAGATTCTAAAACAAAGGATCTTTTACGGTGGTCACTGGTCCTGTCATCCATCACCAGTGTCAGTTTTGTGGACTTATTCTTTAACAACAAAAAATGTCGCTCGAAAATCCATCAGGGAAATAATTGCAAACACATTTTAATCACATATTAACTACTGTACTTATTATCACTTTACCATTGTGACAAAAATTTACCTGTTCGGAGGACTTAAATATCTTCCTCTCCCCCTCTCTCTCTTTCTCTTTTCCTCTTTCTCTCATTTCCCCCTCTCCCTCTCTCTCCCTCTACCTCTCTCTCCCTCACCATCTCTCCCTCCCCTCTCTCTCCCTCTTCCCTCTCTATCTCCTTTCCTTCCTCTCTCTCTCCCTCTCTCTCTACATCTCCCTCTCTCTATCCCTCTCTCTCCCTCTCTCTCTTTCCCCCTCGCCCTCTCTCCCTCCCCCTTTCTAACTACTGTACTTATTATCACTTTACCATTGTGACAGAAATTTACCTGTTCCGAGGACTTAAATATCTCCCTCTCCCTCTCTCTCTCTCTCTCTTCCCTCTTTCTCTCCCTCCCCCTCTCTCTTCCTCACCATCTCTCTCCCTCCCCCTCTCTCTCCCTCTTCCCTCTCTGTCTCCTTTCCTTCCTCTCTCTCACTCTCCCTCTACCTCTACCCCTCTCTCTCTACACCTCCCTCTCTCTCTCCCTCTCTCTCCCTCTCTCTCTTTCCCCCTCGCCCTCTCTCCCTCCCCCTTTCTTTCCCTCTCCCTCTCTCTCCTTCTCCCTCTCCCTCTTCCTCTCGCTCTCCTTCTCCCATCTCTCTCTTTCTCTCTGTCTTTCTCCCTCTCACTCTCTCTTTCTCCCTCACCCACTCTCTCCTCTCTTTTTCTCATTATCTCTCTTTTTATCTCTTCCTCTCCCTCTCTCTCCCTCTTCCTCTCTCTCCCTCCCTACCCCTCTATCTCCCTCTCCCTCTCTGTCTCCCTCCATTTCCCCCCTCTCCCTTTTTCTCTCCCTTACACTTTCTCTCCCTCTCTCTCTCTCTTTCTCCTCTCTCTCCCTCTCTTCCTCTCTATCTTCCTCTCCTCCATCTCTCTGTCCCTTACTCTCTCTCCCTCTTTCTCTCAATTTCTCTGTCCCTCTCTGTCCCTCTCTCTGTCCCTCTCTCTTCCTTCTCTCTCCCCTCCCTCTCCTTCTCTCTCCATCTCTGTCTCCCTCTCTGTTTCCCTCTACCTCTCTCTCCTTCTCCCTCTCTCCTTCTCTCTCATAAACCAGTTCCATTCATAACCTCTCTCTCCTCTACATGCCTTCCCTCCAAGTTCTATCTCTCATAAACCCACATCCCCATTCATTCATTGAACATACACATTCAAAGATATTACATGCATTACATACAAGATATGCACAAGTAACATTCACATTCACACAGACATACACATTGACACATAACAAACATACACAACATACATACAAACATTGACATGACATTACACACAAAAAACATTACACATTGACATTGACATTACATACATACATACACATGACATATTGCAAACATACGTACATACAAACATGATATGCGCACGTAGATCACATACATAGAGATCACACACAAACATACACATTGACATTACATACAAACTGATCTCAAGAGGCATCGCTCACATACACCAGACACCTTACGCACATAGAAACTCAGAGAAACCACACACAAAAACATACACTAATATCACACACTGTGATCTTATTCATGCAGACATCACACATTCAGAACAGGCAAACATCCATACGTCACACATACATGTACTCATTACTGTTACACAGCACACTCACAAACACACACACATCCAGACATTTTAAATTCTCTTACTCTTACCTACAAAAAATAAATTAAAAACACAAACACACACACACACACACACACACACACACACACACACACACACACACATACATAGCCACACATATATATAATATATATATATATATATATATATATATATATATATGTGTGTGTGTGTGTGTGTGTGTGTATGTACACACATATATCTGTAGCAGGATTACCTCACCTGCGCCCTTTTCTAACACTTCATCCATAGCCGCACAAGCCAAACTCACCAGTTATTCGACCTAGGCCAGCGATTCTCTCCCCAGCATACCCGGCGATCTGTGCTCCAAGACTCTGGCCAATGATATGGACGTCGTCAGCTTTTAGATCTATCGTCTCCTGTAATATAAAGTGGCAATGAGCAGAGGAAATATGTCCATCGTTTTGGATTCTTGCTTTCACTTACGGTACCCCACCCCCTTCATTCTGGGTTCAGTCACCCCATTTTGGAGCTAACAGAATTGCCCCTAGCAAGCATGTCGTGAAATTCGACTGACTAAAGGTGCTCAGACAAAGTCGGAGTGCTTTTCCATGAGAAGCTGGGAACACCGTATGCTTACAAATAATCCTGCACCGTGAAACGCATTTCTCACATTTGTAACAAGACCAGTCCAGAACTGGATGAACAACAGACGTTTACAACCGGTGAACGCGAAGAAGTAGAAGAACAAAAGGAACTAAATTTCACCGTGTGTCTGACCACGACCGGCTCCAGCTGACGGGCCGTGTTGCTGACGTCACCAGGTCGGGCTAACGATGCTTTAGCGCAGTGGTTCTCAAACAAGAAATAAACTATATTCGACACTGGCGAGAGAAGACAACACAAATTTTAACTTTCAAGTATCTGCATGTCTTTTTTTAATCATTTCACAATTTGTGGCCGACCTTTCTTGATTATTGCCGCGGTACCCCTGGCATACACTCACGACAACACAGGGTGATTTGGAATCTAGTTTGAGAACTGCTCTGTCAACGCATCGTTAGCCCGACCCTGTGACGTCAGCAACACGGCCCGTCAGCTGGAGCCGGTCGTGGACTGACTGACTTTCTACCCCACCAGGACATCACGCAAGCTATAAACAGCCGATGACACAATGTACCACCATGTGGATGAGGATGCTATGTTGCGGCCCCTTGTAAAAGCCAGAGTAGAGCTTTTGTGTGCTTGCGCTGGTATAGAAGTCCATACTTCCCATCCTTTTTACAATAAAATTTTTCGTTATTTGAAGCCCTACTCTGGCTTTTGCCAGGGGCCACAACATAGCATGGCCTAAAGGCTTTCTGGGACCTCTACATTGATCCACAGTTGAAGATATAACCTTACTTTATTCAAAGAAAACCCCTTGTGCATTGATACAGCAAGTAGCACGATCTAACAAACACTGGAACGACCTCTGTAGTTCTTTTGTTGTTATAGCTCTTAATTAAAGTCGATATTACGGCTCTTTAGAAATCATCAATATCGTTAAAGAAGCGTCTTTTCAATGGTGACTTTGATAATAGGAAAAGAAAAAAATACAGGGAGACAAATCTGGGGAATAGGGTGGAAGGCTCAGAACATTACCTTGTTTTGGGGCAAAAAATTCTTTTTGGATGATATCTCTTGGGTACTCGACCCGTTGATGTTTTTTGTCATCAGACAACGAATGTGGTACAAACCGACAAGAAACGTTTTTCTTGCCAAAATCTTGCACTAAAATGTTATCAATTGTCTCTCTATTAACACCAGATTTTTCTGCAATCATCCTTACAGTAAAACAATGATCTTCTTGTATCCGTTCTCTGACTTTTGCAATGAGTTTATCATTATAAACATAAATTTGACGTCCAGATCTAGGTGCACTAATAATCATTTTCACACCACTTTTAAATAGTGAATACCACCTGAAAAGTTTTGCACGAGATAAAACATTATCCCCATAAAATTGCTGCATCATTTCAACTGTTTCAGTGGCGCTTTTTCTGAGTTTTAAAAAGAACTTAATGTTAGATTTTTGCTTCGTGATGATTA